CTGGGCCCCACAATTTAAGAAGGATGCAAAGGTCCTTGAATGCTTTCAGAGGCGGGCAACAAAGCTGGTGAAAGGGCTGGAAGGCATGTCCTGTGAGGAGCGGCTAAGGACTTTGGGCTTGTCTAGTTTGGAGAGAAGGAGGCTGAGGGGCGACCTCATTGCTCCCTACAGCTTCCTGAGGAGGGGACGTGGAGAGGGAGGTGCTGATCTCTTCCCCCTGGGATCCAGTGGCAGGACGTGTGGGAATGGTTCAAAATTGTGCCGGGGAGGTTTAGACTGGGCATTAGGAAGCATTTCTTGACCAAGAGGGTGGTCAAACACTGGAACAGGCTTCCTAGAGAGGTGGTCGATGCCCCAAGCCTGTCAGTGCTTAAGAGGCATTTGGACAATGCTCTTAATAACATGCTTTAACTTTTGGTCAGCCCTGAAGTGGTCAGGCAGTTGGACTAGATGGTCCTTGTAGGTCCCTTCCAACTGAAATTATTCTATTCTATTCCTCTGATTTCCAAAGAAAAACCCATCAAGTTTTCAAGACTCAGCTTCATGCTTAATATATTAAGATTAAAAGAACCAATTTCAGGACACAATAGTTACTGGATTAATATTCACTGTTTTTATCAATATATAAACAACATACGGATGCTGTCACATAAAAATACATTAGTTTGTGTCTACAATCATTCTCAAGCATTTTAATTTTAACCAACAGCAACAAACACTTTTCTCCTGGATAAGTTGTAGAAAAATGACTAAACCTTAAAATAAACTTCAGTGACAAAGTATATTTTTTTAGGGACTATAAGAAATTGAAACACACCAGATATCTACTGTAATTAGAGGGCAAAAAAAAAAGGGGCGGAAGGGGGGTGTTCCATTCAATTTGAGACCACAAGATTTAAAAAAAAAAAAAAAAAGAAAACCAAATACCCACCATAAAGTAGTAATGAGAAGAATGAACACAGCAGAAAAAGAGCAAAACATAAGAAAAAAGAAAGACAAAACTATAAAATAATATGAAGAGCATAAGCTCAAACAAAACAGTAGAGCTATGGACAAAGTTAGACAAAAAAATTTTGGTTTCAAATCTATTTCCAAAGAAGTTCACAGCAAACTTCATTGACTCCAGTGCCAATTTTACCTCAATACTCATATTCGCAGTGGAAGCCAACCGGGCAATTGACAGGATCCCAAAAAAGCCCTCAGTCTGCTTCAACTCTGTACAAGCAGACAAGTAGAAGTGCATGACGGCAGTGAATAAATAACTACTGCAAGTAAAAATGGCAATTTATTTAACAATTCTATAGCTGTCCTAATTACAATAGAGTATTTTTAACATATTGAAATTGCGCACCTCATGTTAAAACAGAGCAAGCATTCAAGAGCTCTCTTGTGTTTTACCTTGTAAAATAAACCTCTGGAGAGATCTTATTAAATTAAATTACATATAAAATTATTGGTGCATATTTTGCTGCTCACAGTCATGATTTTGTCACTTGCTCCATTAAAATAACAAAAATAAAGAGCCGTTTGGGATGTAGGTAGTGATCTACAACTGTTCCTGTGAGAGCTAAAACCATTTTAGTTCATTAGATTTGCAGCTCTTTGAAAAATTAGTAGTTCTCAAAGGTATTCATCTTCAAACTAACAGTTATTGTCTACACTTGTATTAGAGGGCAATGGTATAATAGCTTGAATTAACTTTAGAGGTGCTGCACTGACCAAACGAACTTGAACAATATCTTACCAACAGCTATCTTCAACTACAGTAGTATCCTTAAATATAAAGACCACAGGCTTCCATGAGGGAAAAAATAATTTCCATTGTATGCTAGTATTACAATATTTTTCCCAGTTATTCCATGTACAAAATTGTGGCCACAAAATTTCAACAGAATTTTATGCCAGATTGATCTTACACTCAGAGAATAATGGACAGAGACCTTAGAATGGCTTTTTGCCTGTTCAGGTCTAGGCAATCTGAAGCCAAAACAGACATCAAAGGTGTTTGCAATGAGAAGAAAACACATGCAAAAGCCCTGTATTGGGTGCTTTATGATTATTTTTTCTTCTCCATAGCTCCATCTCCCATCCAGGACTTCTACTTTTACAGGCTACTGTCTGTCCTTGGGATGAAAAAAATAAAATTGGGATTGGTTATGTTTACAAGAAGATGGACTACACTGTACCTTTTCCATCTTATAAATTGTTCTATGAAAGAGTAAAATAATAGAAAAGTTACTAAATTAACTACATCATCTTTCATTGCTGTATCAGCTACTGTCTGATACATTGATGCAACTTCCAAATAAAATTTCTCCACTGTGTATCAGATGCAAATACTTGTGCAAACAAAAGGTGCTTCTGTGTTTCAAAGTCTCCCCACTAACAAAGTAGCTGGATGTTTGCTGTCATCTGCACTTTATCACAAATCACCTCAAAAAGCTGTATCACTAAACACCACAGCCATAAAATAAAGGTGGACCCTGGGAGAATCCTTTAGAAAAAATGTCATCTCAGATATTTAGCAGAATCACACTCACATAAAACTCCTCCACTGAGGTGCTGACAAGCAGTGAAAGGAATTTGCATTTTTAAAAGGTTAACTCAATCCCCTGCACCGCTTTGAAAGTTTCAGTTAGGTAACACAATTGTTTGACTTTGCATTGCAAAACACAGAAAACCAAAGCTTGCCTGAAACAAGAGAACATTCTGCTAATGTTCAGCTCTGCTAACAATTTGACCAAGTTTATATTTATTTCTTTTTCTAAATATGGCAAAGCTGCTTTCTTAAGGAAAATGTACTACCTTCCTAAGAAAGAATGAAAACATAAGGTAACATGACTGTAAAGTGTATGTTAAGTAATTTAAAACTTAAAATGTTCTTGCATTTTGTATTATAAAATAATATTAATTTGTAGCATTCTTACACTAATTTCAAGAGACTAATACAATCTTAAGGTAAACCTTAAATTCATAATACCTTATATCCATCTTAAGTGGATTCTATGAACTTGGGAGTGACTCAGAGAGATGTTCCTATAAACTTTGCCTTGCTTTAAAATCTGGACAACTTTTATTGTACGATTTCCTCTTTGTAGGGCAGACACAAACCACTGGAAAACCTTTCAGATTAGATACCACAGCAGCCTTCATAAATTAATAAAAAAGAAAATTACATCAGGACCACTGTGGTACTGGGCAAGACCCCCACACTTTCCTTAAAAGGCACTTCAGTTACAATGAGCCACATTCTCTGCACCTCTTTTTGTTTGGGTTTTTTTTAAGAATCATAAGATTTCATTGCAGAATTGCAACCTTTAGCAGCATGGCACAGCTAATAGGAATTGTTCCATTCTCTTCTTATACTGGCGTTGTTATACTGTGTTTTTAATACTGACAAAAGCGATCAACTTTGTTATTGACTGTTCCATTTCCAATCCCATTCTTTTAAATGGAAACTAGATCAGTGAACCAGTAATCTCACTCTTTAAATTTAAAGAAGAAATTGTCATGTGTTAAAATCAAGGGTTAGCACCAGCATTTACATAGTTTACATTATTAAAACAACACAGAACAATGCTACTTGGACTTAATCCCATTTGCAGTACAACCTCCACAGAATGAAGAATAAATATTGACGTTAAAAAGCCTAAGTTATTGTAGAAATACATTTTCAGGAAGATTAGACAAAACTACTACCTTCACCATTTTCAGGTAAATCTCCAATGGATGCGTCTTCCATGACGTTTATGAACAGTCAGCACTAGAGTGTGTAATTCCACTTTGACCAACCAAAGCTCCCAAATCATTGTTGCTTCTATCCAGGTACCATAGAAAGACTCTTGCACAGGAGAATCAGTTGACAATCAGCTCACTTACCCTCTAGGCTTTCAGGGTTAAAGTGCTAGGGTAGGACAGGGCATCAGTAGAGCCACTGGGATTTGTATCAGTGTCAGGCTAAAAATTAAATACCCAGACGGAATGAAAAGTTGAATGTTGGCACACCTCGGTGCTATTGGAGGAAGATTTTAAAGTGATTGACGTTTTTACTCTCTTATGATGACAAATACTGAAAGAACACAAATGATACACCAGGTTTTAGCCAGGTGTTGATAACCACAGAATTATATTGGTTTAACTAAGCTTGATACTTATCCTCAAACATGATTCCTTTGTCCTGAAAGAGTAAATCACTCAGTTTTAATTTTGGCTATTTTATTATTGGTTGAGGTTTCCAAATAAAATATAAACAGATGCTTCTGAAAACAGGCTAAGATGAAAAGCACTTAATCTACAGACAAGAGATTGAAAGAATATAGGTAGCTTAAATGAGAGGGAGGGAAAAAAGGACATACCTTTGAACACTGTTTATGATTCTGGCACCAAGCAAGTGACCCATTGTTCTGAAAGACAATGAAAAAATACATGAATATTAATATTTCTTTAAGACTAGACAGGATCACCCTAACAGACTTAATCAGAATTCACCTTCCAGTTCTGCTTAGAGAATGATGTTGTGTCACAACCAATCCTGACTCCAACTCCCTTGTGTTGAGTAAAAGGCTCAGGCAAGTGTGAACTGACCAGAGAAAAGTTAAGAAAGCGTTTCATCAAGCAAGGCTGGCGGAAAACTGAAGTCACCTTTTAGTCCATCTTTGTAAACACTTACTATCTAGACTTGCTAGGAAGCAAACAAAGGTAACACTTGTATTTAAGAAATTGATAGGGATCAGTAGTGATTCAGGAACGGAAAGCACATTAGCCACATTTCAATATTGCACAATACTTAAAAGAAATTATCAAGGAAAGATAATGAACAGCCTTGAAGTAAATGGAAAAATCAATTAAATGCAACATGAGTTTACCAAAAGTCGCCCATGCCAGTTTTACTTTATATTTTTGATAATAAAGTGCTTTTCCCAGATCAGGAAACACTGTAGCTCTCATTTGTCTTGACTGCAGTAAAACAACCAATACAGTATCACATGCAAAATAACAATTTAAGCTAAAGGAAAAGAGAACATGAAAAGGAAAAAGGAAAAGGAAAAGATAAATATAAATATCTTAAAAGATAAAAGATAAATAAAAAGAAAAGGGAAAGATAAATATGAAACTGGCACAGGGACAAACAGCAACCTGCTGTTCTACTAGAGGAGCTTCTGAAGGGTCAACTTTGGAAACAATATTTCTCAGTAACAAAACAGCACAGGAAACAGAAGTGCATGTTTGTGGGGTTAACAGATGAGACAAAATATTGATTCGCTTTCTGTACAGTGGAAGATCAAAACAACATCAGGAAGATCTAAGTGACTCTGTGGACTGAACACGAGAAATGGGGTAAAACTTTGCAACACATAGTGCACATACCTGCACTTAGGAAATATATATATATATATTTCTTCCATAATTTATAAGCTCATACTCTGGAAACAGAACAGATGAAGATTCTGGTAAACTTGTTGTTCACAATCTGACTACAATGGTGAGTCTATGAGGGAGTAATAGGATGTCCTTTCATATGAATTAGGCAAGGTATTTCCGCAGGGATGGATTAATGTGATTGTACTATGCCTTCACCTTTGACACTGACTACAGATCTGGAAATCAGTCTCCAGGGAAGAGGAATTCAGGTAGGCCAGAATGTAAAGGACTAGAGGACTACACTTTCTTCTTCCTTTTTTTTTTTTCCAATTGTTTTAATAAGGAGAGATTCAAATAATGGAATAATATATATACATAACTTTTTATGTATAAAATCACACAGACAAAGCCAAAATTCATCTCTGGATGTACAACAACTACAATTAAGAAGCAGAAATAGATACAACAGCATGCGCTGTAACTAAGCCAACTAGACCAGTTTCTCAAAACAGCAGTACTCTGTTCTGATCTCAGCAAAGCTTATAAGCTTGAATACAGTGGCTTGCTATCACAGCTATGAACCCTATGCTTTCAGGCTGGATCCCTCTTAGCATATGTTTGAGGAGATCATATTTGTGCATGTCTTCAAACAAGTATGTAGCGACACCTTCACTCAAGCTCCTAAGATGTGGCCAGTAGGTTAAGGGAAGTGATGGTCCCGCCCTACTCCACTCTCGTGAAACCTCCCTGGAGTACTGCATCAAGCTCTAGGGTCACCTGTACAAGAAAGTCATGGACCTGTTAGAGCAGGTCCAGAGGAGGGCCACCAAAGTGATCAGAGGGCTGGAACACCTCTCCTTTGAAGAAAGGCTGAGACAGGTGGGGTTGTTCAGCCTGGAGAAGAGAAGGCTCCAGGGACACTTATTGCAGCCTTTCAGTATATGAAGGGGGCTTACAAGAAGGACAGAGAAAAACTTCTTACCAAGGCTTGTAGTGACAGGACAAGGGGCAATGGTTTTAAACTGAAAGAGGATAGATATAGAGTGGACATAGAAGGAAATTGTTTACAATAAGGGTGGTGAGACACTGGAACAGGTTGCGCAGAGAAGTAGTGGATGCCCCATCACTGGAAGTGTTCAAAGTCAGGTTGGATGGGGCTTTAAGCAACCTGATCGAGTGAAAGATGTCTCTTCCCAAGGCAGAGGGGTTGGACTAGATGATCTTTAAAGGCCCGTTCCAACCCAAACCATTCTATGATTCTACAATTCTATGACTATGAATATTGTTCAAATCACACACTCACAGAACAACTGAGGTTGGAAGGGACCTCTGGAGGTCATCTGGTCCAACTGCCCTGCTCAAGCAGGGACACCTACAGCCAGTTGCCCAGGACCAGGTCCGGACAGCTTTTGAATATCTCCAAGGATGGAGACGCCACTACCTCTCTGGGCAACCTGTGCCAGTGCTCAGGAACTGGCTCAGTGCCAGTGCCAGCCCTCACAGGAAAAGTGTTTCCTGATGTTCAGAGGGAACCTCCAGAGTTCCAGTTTGTGCCCATTGCCTCTGGTCCTGTCACTGGGCACCACTGAGAAGAGCCTGGCTCCATCTTCTTTGCACCCTCCCTCCAGGTATTTCTATACATTAATGAGATCCCCCCTCAGTCTTCTCTTCTGTAGGCTAAACAGTTTTGGCGCTCTCAGCCTTTCTTCATAGGAGAGATGCTCCAGTTCCGTCACCAGCTTTAAGGCCCTTCACTGGACTCTCTCCAGTATGTCCTTGTCTCTCTTGGACTGAGGAGGCCCAGAACTGGACACAGTACTCCAGCTGTGGCCTCACCAAGGCTGAGGAGAGGGAAAGGATCACCTCCCTCGACCTGCTGGCGATGCTTTGCCCAATGCAGACCAGGATACCGTTAGCCGCCTTTGCTGCAAAAGCACATTGCGGGCTCACGTTCAACTTGGTGTCCACCCAGGTCCTTTTCTGACAAGCTGCTTTCCAGATGGGTGGCCCCCAGCATACACTGGTGCATGGGGTTATTCCTCCCCAGGTGCAGGACTTTGCACTTCCCCTTGTTGAACTTCATGAGGTGCCTGTCAGCCCATTTCTCCAGCCTCTCGAGGTCCCTCTGGACGGCAGCACGACCCACTGGCGTATCAGCCGCTCCTCCCTGCTTTACATCGTCAGGAAACTTGCTGAGGATACACTCTGCACCATCAACCAGGTCATTAATGAAGATGTTAAACAGGACTGGACCCAGTATTGACCCCTGGGGCACACTGCTAGGCACTGGCCTCCAAACAAGTCTTTGCACCGCTGATCACCACACTCGGCCTGGCCATTCAGCCAGTTTTCAATCCACCTCACTCTCTGCTCATCTGGTCCGTACATCAGTAGCTTCTCTATGAGGATCACATGGCAGACACTGTCAAAGGCCCTACTGAAGTCCAGGTAGACAACATCCACAGCTCTCCCCTTGTCTACCAGGCCAGTCACTTCATCATAGAAGGTTATCAAGGTGGTCAAGCAAGACTTCCCCTTGGTGTAGCCATGTTGACTACTCCTGATGATTTTCTTGTCCTTAACATACAGGAGGAAAAATTTCTTTACTGAAAGAGTGGTTAAACATTGGAACAGGCTGCCCAGGGAAGTGGCTGAGTCACCCTCCCTGGAAGTATTTAAAAGACGTGTAGATGTGGCGCTTAGGGACGTGGTTTAGTGGGCATGGTGGTGTTGGGTCGACGGATGGACTCAATGATCTTAGAGGTCTCTTCCAACCTTAATGAGTCTATGATTCTATGGAAATCTGTTTCTGGATTAGCTGCTCCATCACCTTCCCAGGGATGGAGGTGAGGCTGACCGCCCTGTAGTTCCCTGGGTCCCCCTTCTTTCCCTTCCTGAAGATAGGAGTGACATTTGCTTTCCTCCAGTCTTGGGCCACTTCTCCCAATGGCCGTGATCGATCAAAGATTATCAAGACGAGCCTCGCAATGACATCTGCCAGCTCCCTCAGCACTCGTGGGTGCATCCCATCAGGGACCATGGACTTAGGTATGTGCAGTTTGCTTACGTATTCCCTTACCTGATCCTCTTCCAACAAGGCTACATCTTCCTTGCTCCAACCCTTCCTCCTCGCCTCTGGGACCTGGCA